CCGTTCTTGGACAAGGCCGAGGTAGACGGGCGTGTTGGCGATGCCAGAGAGCAAGTAGGTCGTCCCCGCAACGATCAAGGCAAAACAAGGTACATCACCGCGAGGAATACGCCAGGGCGCCAATACAAACGCAGCTGCAGCCTCGGGCCTTGTCGTGCATCTGACGACGGCGCCACGCGGGGCATATCGCTTCGGAATGCACGTAACGCCCCTAACGTCTCGAAACGGGTTCCGTTTTGCGTTGGCGAGAAAGGGCGTACCGATGCAGTCACTCGGCGTGACATTGTATTCGTGTTCATTTCTCTACGAGAGACGCATGCATGAAATGACAGACACTGTGGCTCATTCTATCGACGTAGAGTGCAGTATGTTTCGGTTGAACGGGTGGTGGACTTTTAAGCCACGGCAACACTGCTTGCACTCGAACACGGCTCTATTACACGAGATACCCCGCTTCGTCGATCTCGGCGTCGGTCGTCCCAGAGAGCAATGTGTGCAGCGGTGTGTAGCTGGACCGACGCGAAATCGTCCGCTGCCTGATATGCACCACGAGCACGCTGCCGACACCGGAGCTGTAGTACGCCTTGAGGCGGGCGGTGGGTATGAGCCGGAAGAGAAGGTCGTACTGTACGTTGGAGGTTCGCGTCATCGCCGTGCTGGAAACTTGGATCATGTTCTTGATGAGGAGAACGCCGGCGTCAATCCCAACCGAGTCTTTGTCGTCAGTGAAGAGGATGCTGCTGTGAACTGACGTTACGACAGACGTCAAGTCCTTCACAGCGAGGTATTGAAGAACAGAGTGTGTCCTGGGGACCTTACACCACGCGCCCTTCGACCATACGAGCGCGTGGAAATACACGACCGCGATCGCAAGCAGCACGACACCACCCGACGCGATCGCCGAGTAGTAGTACGTCTGCGCGATCTTGTTGTAGAGAAGGCAGTTGGTCGACGTGCGTCGGCCGCAAGGTCCTGGCACGGGACTGCTCATGCCTGGAAACACGAATGCCTCGAGCACAAAAACCAGAATCCAGTTGACCAGACTGAACACGAGAAGGAGCCACGTCTGGGTCACGAGGCGCGGGTTGAACCACGTCTGAATCAACGTGCCCGTCATGATACCAACGATCGACGCCATTTGAGCGGGTCCACAGTACGCATAGTTGCCCAAATCGAATCCAGGCTTGTGGTGAAGCAATGTGGTGAGCGTCTGGAGGTTGGCATTGCCCCAGAAACCCACAAAGAGGATCACGAGGCCGACAACGCTCTTCGACATGTAGACAGGACCGAGGCAAATGGCGCTGCGTCGGAGGTAGACCCACTGCAGTGACGTAAAGTCGACGGCGAGCACCCAGAGTATGATCGCGTTCGTCAGCATGAGTGAGTCGCACTCCCACGTCATCGTGACCATGCCTTGGATCTGCTCAAGCCAGCCAAGACCCGTGGCTTCGTCCAGCGTTCCTATACAGCTACATGCCGGAAGGACGTCCCACGGCGCGTGCATCTGGAGGATGCCGCCTTGGTACTCGTCGATTGCACGGACCGTTCTCAAGAGCACTGGGCCGAGCGGACCATCCATGAATGTAGCGATGTGTCCCGGGTTCAAGTAGACCTGTTTGCGCGCTGCCACGCCAAGGTAGCTGGTCGTTCCGCGGCTCACTTGAATCGCATACGTGGCGACGTCTAGCGCCACTTTGTTTTCGCAAATCCAATTCGGATCAAATTTGCGCGGTGAGCAAAAGGCGATCGAGTCGATCACCGCCGAGGATGCGGGTGCCGACGCAAGGTTGAAGCTCGCGCGGCGCACCATGCACGTAATCGCCATGTCGTGGCCGTCAATGGAAAACTGCGCTGTCGCTTTGTTCCAGCCGCTGAGGTTGTTGATGTGCTGAATCGTGATTGTCTGGGTGGAATTCTGGAAGCGCGGCTGGTCAAAGTTGGGGATCAAAGCAAACGCTTTCGCCACCAGGTACCAGATCTCATTGGACCGAGGTAGAAACGACGTCGCACAGGCCTCGTCCCGTACACCACACTTTTTGTAGAGGAGGTCGCTGAGAGAGAGGGTCGTGTCTAGTGTCATGCTGGTCGACAGTGGAAAGGGTATTGAAGCGCGAAGGAGTGTTCTGACGGGGATGTTGAATTGGTTGCTTGTAAAGCTCTCGTACTGGTGGCCGAGGAAAATGGGCGTGTTCGCGATCGCACTCAAGTAGTACGTGCAAACGGCGACGGTGGACGCAAAGGCCAAGTAGAGCAGCGAGAGCGCCATGCCATGGCCCACGGCACGCGCGGGGCGGGGTGCGGACTCGGACGGGACGACCTGCGTCGGCATATGATTATCTATTAATGTGTCCACAACGGATACACTGCTTAGGTCTAAATCGAGCGTCCGTGCTGGTAGTGCCGAACCCATGGCTGGCGCTTCGTGCGTGCGACGCGTTGTGTGGGTGTTTGACTAGCATGCACAGCTTTCGTAGTAGCGTTTATCGAGGTAAAGCCATTGCTTTATGGATAGAGCAGCGAGGTGTAGCTCCATCGACTGCTTCAGCACGACGGACCAGCGTTCCAATGAAAATATCAGAATCGAGTGAAAAGTACGGCATATTCATTTGTTCTATGTTATATTTCAATCAGTACCGCGAGTGGGCTTTTTGTGCTAGCGACAACGCTCCTTGGGTCTCCTGGATCACACAATGAGCTAGACAAAATACCCCGAGAGGCCATCGCCGCCACCAATGCCCATCTCGTGGAGGTACTTGTAGCTCGAGACGTGGGTCAGCGCGCGCTTTTCAATGTGCACCACGAGCATTGACCCGACGGTCGAGCTGTAGAGTCGCTTGAGAAAGGTTGTCGGAAGCAAGCGGTAGATGAGCTCGTACTGGACGTTCGTCGTGCGCGTGAGCACCGTATCGGAAACCTGGAGCATGTTCTTCGTGAGGAGGATGCCAGCGTCGATGCCAACGTCGTCGGACGCAGCATTGTTGTGCTGGAGGCATCCTTCGAGCGACGTCACAGTCGATCGCAAGTCGGGGACTCGGAGGTACGTCAGCACCGAGTGCGCTGACGGCACCACGTGGCCCGTCTTGCGCTGCTTGAGCGAGATGAGGTAGACGCAGCCGATGGCAACGAGAACGACGCCGCTCGAGGCGACAGCGGAGAGATAGAAGTTGCGTTTGATGGCGGTGTATTGGAGGCAGCCGGTCGACGTGGCCAGCCCACACGGTCCCGGCACCGAGCTGCTCATGCGTGGAAACACGAATGCCTCGAGCGCAAACACCAGAAACCAGTTGACCAGACTGAACACTAGAAGGAGCCACGTCTGGGTCACGAGGCGCGGGTTGAACCACATCTGAATCAACGTGGCCGTCATGATGCCAACGATCGACGCCAGTTGTGCCGGACCGCAGTAGACGTAGTAGCCCAAGTTGAAGCTCGGCGTCTGGTGCAAATACGTTGTAAGCGTCTGGAGGTTGGCGTTGCCCCAGAAACCCACAAAGAGGATCACAAGACCGACCACGTTCTTGGCCATGTACACGGGCACGCTGCAGATGACGCTATGTCGGAGGAAGAGCACTTGGAGCAGCACCAAGTAGA